GTATTTTAAACAACATAAACAACTTAAAACAATCTCCCACACGAGCTGGAACCACCCAAAAATCAGCAACAACAAGAAGAACAACAAACTTACTAGCGCCACGGGATTCCCGATACTTGATTTGTGTTGTTTGCCCTTTGTTTGGGTCTTGGATCATGAGATAACCTTGAGAGAGTGTTTCTAGGGTTCTAAGGTCTGAATATACTGAAAACAATGATTTAAAATGGGGTTGAGGCATCTTATATATATCCATATGTCTTAAACCACCTATGTGGGCCCCATAGAGAGCTGTTTGGCGCAGTCTTGCAAAAATGCGAATATCTCTCTAGTCCAATATTGTATTGACAAAAGGTTTAATGAGTTAGAAAATAGACTTGTATATCTTCAGTTTGATATGTAGTTCATCCCTTGATTCCAAGTATATTGGGAGAAAAGTGCATCTACATTTGACCTAAATTCAGCACATTATAAATGCAACTTGTGATGACCTTTGCCAACTTTTGTTCCACAACTCGCTTGACTTAGAAACATAACACACGACTATCATACGACTAAAATAACTCATTACTTAACTTCCTTATCATGTTAATCATCCTAGTCTCACCCCAAAAGTATATGTTATAACATTCCAAACTTGTCGACTTTCGATGAAACTTATTTTCTTCAGTTCGTTTAGCGTCTAAGCTTTCCAAACCTTTTGGTACTTGTTATTAATGATCTTAAAGATTTATAACCTCCAAGATAAAATTATGAACTTACGTTATGTAATTTTCAAAAATGATCTCAATTTCGAGCTTATATCAATTGGCTTACAATGTATTCTCACGTACAAAAACATGGGATGTAACAACAGTGCAAGAACTAATTTAGGTTTTCTTAGATCTGGAATTTGGTTAATTCAAGGGATTGTTTGGGGAAAATACTGAGGGATTTGGGTTTATGAGTGTGTGAGGATTATAGGGTGCGATTTTGGGTGGGTTTGGGGATCGACCGCCGCCGTGAAACGATTTTCGGCAGGTGGCGGCTAGGGTTTGGGCCGTTTTGGATTGGGAGTGAATTGGGGCAGCTAGGGTTTGTGTTTTAGTGAGGGAGATGGGTATGGAGGGGGTCTGAAGGGTCTGGGGGGGAGGGTTTAGGATATATATATGGAGGTGGAGTGGTCAGTTCCCATCTATTCGATCAAAAGAGATCAACAGATGAGATTTGATGGTATGAAACAGTGTCGTTTGGCTAGTAAGGAGTGTTGGACCGGATTTGGGTAGGGATATTAGGCTAGGTTTTGGACGGATCTTGGGTATAAATTGGCCCAATTTTCAGGTTTAAAAACAGTCCCCTTTTCTCAAATTCCTTTTTTTAATTAATTAAAATCCTAAATTAATCTAAGTTGTAAAATTAAAATAATTATAAAATTAGCTAATCCTAAATTAAAGAAGGGAAAATTACTAGTTCAACATTAAAGGCTAAAATGTAAAATGATATATTTTGTGATTTTTATTTTAATAACAATTAGCTAACCAAATTAATCTTAAAATACGAGCACAAAATCTAATATGCAATACATGGATTTTTGATTTTTTTAATTTTCTATGCTTTAATGCATGCAAGAATGCAACTAAAAATGCAGACACTTGAACAAATATTTCCTAAAGTTTCTAAAAAATTAAAATGACCTACAAAAAATCTATTTTGTGATTTTGTGGGAGTGTTTTGGGTTGGGCAAAAATCACGTGCTCACACTTATTAATGACGTAATTAATGGTAATGAATTGGTGTTGTTCACATGACCTCTCATTGTCTAATTAATGAAATGTATCTTCTCTTTATTCATGGGTGTGCTGGGTAGAAGGCATTGTGCAAGCTTGCTTGACTGGGGTATCTCGGTTGAGCGCCGGTCGCGCTCCTCGTGGTTGGGGCGTGACAGATCTAGAGTCAATATCTGCCCACTCTCTACCCTACGGGAGCTTGGTATTCATTTGAGAGAAGTGAAAGAAATTCATATGAGTATAAGAGCTTTCAACAAGTCATAGAAGGAAGTCTTTGGGAAAATCTATTTAGCTCTACAAATTGGACCAGTTGAGTTTCTTATGTCGTTCCAAGTAATAGACATTTCATCCTCATATAACTTGTTGCTTGGAAGACCTTGGATACATATGGAAGGGGGGGGGGAAGTCCCATCTACCCTCCATTAGTACATGAAGTTCGAGTGGGGTTGTCAAAAGATTGTAGTTCACGACTAATGGATCCAATCAGCTTAATGGAACATGCAGTTCCATTCATAGAAGGATTAAACAGGGTCGTTTTTCATGTGGTCGAGATCATGTAGACCTTAGAGATAGAGGAGTTTGAGAAAAATCTAGGTATTCAGTCACCATACAGATTAAAGATGGATATGAGAGAAATGATGAAATACGAGTACCGACTAGGGACAGGCTGGGAGCCCGATCAGATAGGATAGCAGAGCTAATTAAACCGGGGGGGGGGGGGGGGGG